TTCCTTCCTTCCTTCCTTCCTTCCTTCCTTCCTTCCTTCCTTCCTTCCTTCCTTTCTTTTTTTTTTAGACCTCACTCTGTAGACCAGGCTGGTCTCAAACTCACAGAGATCCGCTTCTCTCTGCCCTCTCCACTCCTCCCCCGAGTGCTGGGATTAAAGGCTTTCGCCACCGCTACCCGGCATATCGGATTCGTTTCTTTTAGCAACTTGACTCGCTTTAAAACAGCCGAGATGAAAAGCCCCTCATCAGTTGAAGCGGGCAACAGGTGATTGGGCTGGCTTTGGGAGGCTGCCTGCTTCCTTATCAGAACCGTGTTCTAGTGACCCTTCTACGTCCATGGGTCCTCTCTCTGCCTTCCTCTCCCGAGGATCCCTTGGGGAGGCATCCAGTTTATTCAGGACAATTTCCCCATCTAAAGTCCTTCATTGTGCAAAGACTTGTGGAGCATGTACAGGTTCCAAGGGCTGGGGGGGCCTGGGCATACTTAACTCCATCAGGGTCACCTGTGAACCCAGCACCTGCCCGTTCTCTCAACGTCCCCTGTACATCATGGTCACTGGCTCTAACCATTGTTCAAGCCTTAGGAAAGACAAGGGATTTATCAAAGTTTCTTTACAGCACTCCAAGACCCTGCCCCCACCCTGGCCCACTTGAGAACACTTCACAGTTACTTTGAAGGGCTTTCTCAAGGACTTCATGATTCCTTTGATTGGTGCTAAGGAACAACTATGAAATAGGTGTGAATCCTGCTGAGCCACAGTATTGCCCCCACCCCCTTTATTTAGCCTGTAGCCATTGAGGTGGACGTCTCTCATTCCTGTCCTCACACTCCTCAGAGGAACACAAGTCTTAGCCGCATAGGCAGAGTTGACCCTCAAGGGCCAGGAGAGAGAGTTGATTCTGGTCTACTGTCTCCACTGTCCACATCCACCTACGTTACAGATGTAGACGGTTTCTGGTGACTCATACATACCTATTGGAGGATGTATTAAGGCAACTCCACTCCACGTAGTTAAAAGGGAGGTTTATTTTGGGGTAACTTACAACAAGTAAAGGGATAGGTTACAGGATCTGGGAGAGGTGAAGTGCAGTCCAGCGGTGTTCTCTGGAGAACTCTGCTCGGTCTACCATCCAGCATCCAGGCACATTCGGATATGGGGTCTTAAGGGCTCCCGTCTAGCCCCGCCTCAGGGGCAGGCCATAGGTAGGTGTGATAGTTACCGGAAGCCTTGATGGGGGTAGTACTTCAGGTCAAAGCTGGAACAGCTACCCACTACACATACCTGTTGCTCTGGTGCTTAATTTCATGTTTTTTTCCCCCTGGCTACAAGTTCTTTGGTTAAAGACCCTGCCTGGCACACCTCCCTCTTCTGGCCAAACCTGACGTGAGTCCACTCTTGAGTTTGCCATTTCTGAGTTTGCCTCTAGCCTAAGCATTTTCAGTGTCCTTGAAGGGACAATTGAGAGAAGTACCTGGCAACATGGGGAAAAATGGAAAATGGAAAGTAGGTGACCTTTGTATCCTAGGTGTTTAATGTCGAATACCTCAGAAAGCAATGAATAGCCTTAGGCGTGGGGCTTGGAGAGGGGTCAACCTTAAGAGTATTTGCTTGTGCCAGCACTTGGGAGGCAGAGGCAGGTGGATCTCAGTGAGTTTGAGGCCAGCCTGGGCTACAGAGTGAGTTCCAGGACAGCCAGGACTGTTAGAGAAACGCTGTCTCAAAACATGCCCCCCCCACTCCCCCAAAAAAGAGTATTTGCTTGCTTTTCTAGAGGACCTGAGTTAAACCCCTGGCACCCGGTCACACAGCTCCAGGGCATCTGGCACCTCTGCCAAGGACGTCTGCACTCACATTCACTTACCCACATGCAGACACTATATTTAATAAAAATAAAGATCTTTTTTAAAAAAGTGAAGTAACACAACATTGGATTCTGGTCCCTTTGTCCACATCTTCAAAGCTCTTGGAGGAAGGGGATCAATGAGACCAACAATGAGATGAGCACAGTTCAGTGAGTCCCGTCCGTCCCCGTCCCCGTCCCCGTGTCCCCCCCCCCTCCCCGAGTTCTCGGTCACTTGGTGCCTCCAGGAGCCTCAGACACCAATCTTCGTGCCTGAGAAACCAGAGTGCACAGTGAAGGTCCAGGAGATCGCTCAGCCGAGGGACCAGGGCTTCCGTGTCTGCAGCTGGCCTGTCAGACCCTGCGTGCCTTGGCCGCTGCCTGTGTGTGGATGC